GGTCGCAGCTCCCGTGAGAGAGTGGCCCGGTGGCAGAAGAACACCGGAGAGGGCAGAAATGTAGAGGCCGTTGTCTGTGCTGCTTCTGTCCGACCTCAGGAGAAAGTTGGCTGAGCACAGCCGACGTGCTCGGAGACAATTTGTTAAAACTATCCTTCTCTTCGAAAAGCAGAACGTTTTAATGAGGGGATGAGTAAAAAAATACCCCAAGGCCACGTATGGGTTTCGCGTCACAGCGCGGAGCTGGCCCCTGGTTGGAAAGAGCAGCTTGGCAATAGGCGAGGCGGCACTCCGCACGCAAGAGAACAAACGCAAAATAGGTGTGGGAAGGAGACAGCAGCACGCGTTCGGAACAAACTTATCGAGAGGGTAAAACCAGCAGCGTAATTCTGCGTAGTAGGTGATGCCACCTGATGGTGAAAAGTTGGTTTAAAAGCAAACAAACAAAAGGAACATGTAGTTGACTGCACAGCGGTATGGAAGGAGAGAAGTCAGGCGTCGGGCCTGTGCTGTGAAAGGCATCACTCCCTCCCACCTGCGGCAGAAAGCATCGCGCTGGCGTCACGGTGTGCAGCACGCTGCCAGAAGAACGTGTTCGTTCTGTTCCTGGACTGTGTTACCTCCAAGCTCCAGAGACAAGTGCGGGGCTGCGCTCGTTGTACTGCTCCGTGACTGCTGGCGCGTGAATGATGTTTCCTAGAGAGCAAAGACGCAGCGCGTACAGGATGAAACATCCCAGTTTAGCTGTCCAAAGCATAGTGTTTGGTGTTTGTACAGTTTTGCTTTTATAATAAAGGAGAGCAAGTAAAAAATGCACTTAAGCAATTTTAAAGGGTGTACATACATTTATGCGAGGGCTCAGGGAATGGATCATTAAAATGTTAATGAGCACTTAACTCCATCAGGTATTTTTGAAAGACCCATGCAGAATACCATTACAGCAACATTATTTTACTGTGCCTTACATTAGTAATATATTAATACATGTATTAAACCAATTATTTTTAAACATGTTCTAGGTCAAGGCAGTAGATGATGATGGCTTTTGGATTCTTCCATTTTGCAGTGAGTTGGAAAACCAGTATTTTTCATTGCCTTCAGTTGATCTGCTATTACTCCGCAGTACCATGTACAAGGAAGGAAGGGAGGTTACCCAAAATCTTGGTCTTTTTAAGGACCTTTGCATGTTTTATGGCAGAGATGCTCAAATGACACTTGTGACTGCATTGATGACTCCCCGAGTATGTGAGGGCTACGTCTGTTCTACATAACTATAACTTGCATGCATTTCTGCATCTGTTAAGATAATAAATGACTGGAAGAGGCACCACCAAACTTAGGCTGTGCCTTAACATCGAACACTGAAAACAATTCAGGACTTAAAGATTAAAAGCATTTCTTCCCATGAATACACTTTTAAAAACACAGACTAGGCCTGCACAAATGTTGCCAAGCAAGTAACTAGATACTGCCGCCTTCTTACTACACAGAAAAACTCATCGATTAAGTATAGGTGAGCACTTTTTGTGATACACAGTCTTCATTGCCATCCATGTGACCATACATTGTTCCTGAAATAGTAATTGAATTTAAAAATTGACCAAAACCTCCCCATATTGGGCTATGATTATCATACTGAATGCTGAGTTACGCCATGCAGTACAAGTTACTGCTTTCTTCTGCCAGGTTGGTGTATTTTTTTATGAAAAGTTTGTCAGTTTTCCCCCCCTTCAGAAACATCCACATGCATTTAATTTCTCACCTTTCTTCTGGTGGATTAATTTCATGCTGCTTCTCCATAGATGAAGTTTTTGTCGTATTACATAATCCTGTCAGAGAACGGGGAATTGCTGCTTCTCTTTGGCATGTAGCCTTTCAGATTGACGGTATGGCAGTGAACCTGAAGTAAGCCCTAAAAAGCATCAGTGTCCCTGCCTGAAATGCTAACGTTTAAGAGTAGAAATTGTCTATACATGTCTCTGTGTGTTGTGTATATACGCACACACATGTATGTGTGTATATATATATATTAAAAAAAAATCAGAAGAGTGGCTTGGTTTTAACCACCATGGTTTCCTTGCAGAGAGTAAGGATTCTGGAGATAACAAGCACTGTGCACTCCAGAACCTTGCAGGATCAGTTTCACAGCGTGCAAATTTCCATCCCCCAGAAAAGCATTTCAGAGATTTCCTATCCCTCTGGTAAGAACTTGTCTACCAGGATGAAAATACTGGTATTGGGGGGGGGGAGGAACCCAAAATCCACAATAAAAAGTACTCTTGGCTTAGCTTTTCACAACTTAATTTTATTAATCTTCATAAGCAGGCAGTAAAGAGTATAAAAAAAGATAAATAACCTCAGTTTGTAGAGATTTCCAAATGCTGTTCACTTCACTGGCTCTCCCAGAGATCCATTCAGTTCTAGATGACAGGACAATGTTACACCCGTTGATCTGGTTCCGACTCAGACTTGGGGGAGGATTTAGCTATGGTTACCGAAACAACCACCATCCCCACTGCCTCACCTCCCCTCCAGAAGCAACCACTGTGGCCAAGGGTAGCCACGGTGGCTGCCTGTCCAAGCCACGGGGTTTTTTTTACTGCGACACTGAACCACAGCCATGGTGCTGGCCTGGAAGAAGCTGTAAGCGATGGTGGTGCGGCTGCCTGGCTGGAAGTTCAATAGTTTCAGCTTTCCCAGCTGAAACTGCCAGGAGACGCAGGACTGAGCAGGTGGATCTCCTGGTGATACAGGAGGGAGATTATATACATAGGGAGAAGAGAGAACTACTGAAAAAGGAAAACAGAAGGTGATTCATGGAGGGAAGGTATTCTTTGATCAGATACTGGCTTTATCCAAGTATATCTGGAAGTTCGAGCGATTTTGGAACAAATTTACTTGTTCTTTAGCTGCCAACTCTAAGAAGACTGACTTCCAAGCATGTTCCGTTTGTGCAAAACCACATGCCTGAATGGCTCTGCCATTTGCAAACAACACAAAGCAAAGGTTTTGTAGGGCAAGTAAATATCCCAGAATGTAATTTTCAGCAGCAGAAATTTGGCAGCTGAAGAAAACATTTTAATGCTGTCAGCTGCCTGGTCTTACCCTTAGCTGCAGTTCCAGATAAATCACACAAAATAAGGCTTTTATCTCACGTCAACCTCTGTAATGTCCACACATTCTGAAGTAAATTTTATGTTTTATCAGATATAACTTGGGTGCCACAGAGCACTTCATCATCTTGTAATACCTTCTGCATTATTTTAAGTACTCTAGTAAGACTGACAGGACATAGTATACCAACAGAGAAAGGACAAGGCCCTCACTGTTGATCCTCTAGAAAAATCACTAACTTTTCTTTATTCTATTTAAAAAGATAGTTAGTTCCTTTCAAATCATCTATCAGCCCATGAAAAAACAAAAGAAAACAAAACCCCAACCCTACAACCTGAAAGTAAGAAGGTGATATAGAAACAAGAGACAGAAATTGAAAATACTGTTCATGGATAAAGATACTGGCCACTGTCCTCCTATCTCACAAGCTAGTCAATACGGGGAATAGATGAAGTTGGAATAGAAAACATGTTACATGCCGTTGGAATTCATAACCCCATGTTAACTTGTCTTTTGAGTGTATGCATCAACAAGGAGGTCTCTTACATGCAACACACCTGTGTGGAAACCACTACTCAGGTGGCCTCACAGGCTTTAGCTTGTTAGCAATAGATGTTGCATGTGGTAATCTCCCTTTTAGTTTTTACTTTCTACTACAGCTGCACGTGACTGCAGCTCCAGCAACGTGTCCCCGAACCCACTGCAGACAGGGTGTTTGGCTGGCCTGCAGACTGGCTCCTATACCTCTTGGTCTTGAATGAAGGGCTTAACACCTTAATGCTTCAGAAGATCCCAGGCCTGAGACTCTATCCAGACAGTTGAAATAATATGTACATGACAAGCCGGTACTGACTGCGACTGCGAGATCAACAAAATGTAGGGAATACAGGTCAGTGTTTCAGTATGAGAACCTACAAAAAGTATTTCTGTGAAAGTTAGAGAAAAGGACACTGAAAACTCTAGTGGCTTCTGGAGGTAACTATGAGACATTTAAATTTAGGTCAAATTTAGCTACTAAAGCATGAAAGCATTTTGATCCACCTTCAAAGCAAATCTTTGAGATCTCCATGGTACCGAAAGATACAGCTCAGTTTTAAGACAGGCTTGAAAGTCCTGAGAGGTGTTGGCAGTTTATTACACTTTTATGTGGTGGGGATCAACCAGTTTGGAGCAGCAACAAAGACAATTCTATCCCAGCTGTTCCTTTCAGTTCCTGTCATTACCCAGTGCTTGTTCCAGTTTCAGAAATTAGATTATTTGAGGTCTTTTAGTGTCAGCACTGCACACAAGAACAGCTACCATGTTACCACCTCCCACAATTCCTG